CTTGGGGCCGGCCCGGTGGCGCACTGCTACAGTGCGCCGCTTGGGAAGCGCGGCGGCGCTCCCGCCGAGGGTTCGGATCCCACATACAGACCGGCCGCTCACTGGCTGAGCGAGGTGCGGGTGCAGCACCGAGGGTTGCGATCCCGTAGCCGGTCCCGGTCCGGTACGGGCGCGACACTGAGGGTTGCGATCCGTGGCCAGTCACGAAAAAAGACAAAAAGGAAAAAAAAAATGTGAATTCTCAAAAAACAAACAAACAAAAACCCCAAACCAGGAACTTTAAATCTCCAAGACAGTTTTCAGTTTTCTTTGGATGAATCTTCAGTAAATACTGAGATAGGTGGGCTGGCCAGTAGCTCACTGAGGAGATCATGGTGCTAAAAACACCAAGGTCAAGGGGAAAAAGAAAATAGTGAGGAATAGGCCTAAATGACTTAGAGAAAATAACGTGTAAAAAACAAACAAACAAACAAACAAAAACCAGTTCAAAACTGCTCAATGCTTTGCATTTTTTTTCTTCATAATGAAAACCACCAAATTTTCTTTCTGCTCTGAATATACTATTGAAACCAAAAACCTCAGTGCCGTTCCTCAGTATGTCCATTTCTGAAAAACTTATAACTTCCATAACAGGATGAAAACAAAAAAGGGCCTAGAATTATTTTCACAACTGCATGAGACTTTATTAGGCAAACAGTGTATTGTTAGAGAAGATGGCAAGTCAATCATAATTTCCAAGAGAGATTCATGTGTAACAAACTTTACTGATGTATTAGGGATAACTAGCAAGAATTACAACACAGAAGAGAAGAGAAACCCTGAATATGTCTGGACAGGAAGGACAGGGGAGGAGAGGGGAGGGGAGGGGAAGGGGAGTGAAGAAGGAAAGGAAAGTTAAATTAAGGATATTAAGTTGGAAAGTTAAGTTGCAAGGGAAGGGAAGGGAAGAAAAGGGAAGGGAAGGAAGGGGATGGGAGGGGAGGGGAGGGGAGCAAAGAAATAAAACTTCTCTCAAAAGATTCCCTAGAGGACACAATTTAGTTCTGAGAGAAGCGTTGAGTTGTCCATTCATGGCTTCAAGTTATAAAGTAACTACAACTTGAAAATATAATAAAATATGTTGGAGAAAAAATCTTACCTTCCTTCCTAGTTACATCTCCGAAATAAAAGAAGCAAACAGTAAGGAGACACAATTTACAAATTAGTCATCTATAACTCACCTTCGGGAAACATGAAACGAATTTCTCTTTCTGCTGCAGCAAAGTCATGACTCCCATGAAGTGCATTCCTTAGGTCATCTGTGCCATAAACTGCCCTTAGACTAAAGGCAAGTTAGAGATGTTGTCCATCCAATTTTACTTTATACATATGCATTTTACTTGGGAATTTTACAAAAGCATTGCCACTTCTCACATATGGAGGCTTGTCTATTTTGAATTCAAGCTTAAATTTATTTAGATGAGGGTCAAATATATTTAAATCTGCAGGAGGGATATATTGTGAAAATAGGAGTCCTCTGAGTTAAAAGAAGTGCTATTTTGTGAGCAGTAAAAAAGCAATGCATATTCAAAAGTGAAAGAACTCCATGTCCTCTTGTTTCCGGACATGAGTGATAAGGCTGAAAATTTGGACTTCTGCCCCTTTATTACCAATATTCTTTTAAAATACCAACCCAATTTTCCCATGAAAAACTCTACTTCAATGGCAGTTTAATCAAGGATGAGAGGAGAATAAGGCCAATCAACCATAAATTAGACACTCCCTGAGGCCTTTCTTTTATGGTATTAAGATAGACATTTAAATGGTTAGAATATAAAATGAGGGGCTGGCTGGTTTGCTCCGTTGGTTAGAGTGCAGCCTTATAACACCAAGGTCATGGGTTCAGATCCTAGTACCATCCAGGCATCAAAAAAAAAGAAAAAAGAATATAAAATGAACATCTCTTCCCTCCTCCTCCCCCAAAAGTTGATTAAGGAAAACTTCCAAATGGAAGGAAATTCCTATTACAATGAAATCAGATTTTTTTTTCATTTTCACAGATGAATTCCATTCACTCCCCCACCCTCAGGAAAATTACCTGTCTGGGTATGTCTCCTTGGCTACGAAGCTATTACTTGGTCCCAAAAGTTCTTTCCAGTAAGAGATGGCTTTATGTCTAGCTAATATCATGGCGACAAGTGGTCCAGAACTCATGTAAGCTGTTAAATTTGGGAAAAACATTTTCCCATACTGTTCCACATAAAAGTTACTACATTGCTCAGGGCTGAGATGTAGTTTTCTTCTCTATAAGAGAAAGAAGAAAGTCAACAAAGCATTTAAAATGACAATTCAATAATAGCCTCATTAAGTCATTAATAATTTGAACTTAGTACCAATCTATTTATTAATTTGAGGTTTATCTTTCTCTAATGAAGAAAGGACACGATAATTAAATGTATGCTATAAATAAGATAATAAGAGGAATTACTTAGCCTACTTAAGAAAAATGATTCGTTTGGTCACCTCCCTCAGCATATGGTTTGTTAGTGACATGCTCATCATATCTCCTTCTAAAGGTAAATAATGCTCCAATTATCGACACATTGTGAATGTATACTCTATATACATTAAAAAACCAAACTGGGGGCCGGCCCCGTGGCTCACTCGGGAGAGTGCAGCGCTGGCAGTGCCCAGGCCGTGGGTTCAGATCCTATATAGGGATGGCCGGTGCACTCACTGGCTGAGCGTGGTGCGGACCACACCGTGCCAAGGGTTGTGATCCCCTTACTGGTCAAAAAAAAAAAAAAAACCAACTGGACTTTAGAATATTCCAAATTCATCTTTGTCTGTGGTATTTTCCTATTTATTGTGAAATTTTCCTACATTACATTGGGATCTAGTCTCATTACAGTACTCAGAAATACTGTATAACGATGCAGTAATAAGGTATTTCACTTGAACATGAGTGTTCTTTATTCTGGTTCTGCCCTAAATTTGTTTATTCACTATAACCTTAAGAAAAATCAGTTAGTTGTATGCTTCTCAGTTTGAAAAAAATATGAAACATTTTAGACAAATAGAGACTTCACAAATGAGAGACTATGAGTCATTAAGCCTTGGTGTTACAAGGCTGTGCTCTGACCAAAAATCATGGTAGCTGAGTCAGTCATTCTTCCAAGTTGAAAGTAGCATACTTTCCCTAAAAGCAGCTATTTTGAGTGCTTTAAAAATCATCTCATACTGCTGTTTTTTAGTTCCACTAATGGTGTATCAGGAGAGAAAAGGCTCAAAATATAACAGAGGAATTCAAAGTAGACATCAAAGAACTGGCTAGAGTAAGAATGATGAGACATGGAAACAAGTCACTAGGTGAAGGCTGAAAATCTTCATGATTAACGCAGATTTTCCTGAAAAGTACAGTGTGAATTTCACCAAGTGACCTTCCTTTTAAAGTCCCTTCCAAAACTCTTGTTTCCTCAGGTTTCAGAAACTTGGTAAAACTGCTTGGTTTGTAGTGCAGTATCTAAACTGCCCAGAGCAAGAAGTTTAGGAACATGTTTACATAGGTGGCTCAGCACACTCTGAACAGGCCCTGCTGGACAAGTGTAGCATTCTCACCAGTCAAGGACCAATTACTGTGAAAAGATTCTGCTATCTGTTCTCATATTGAAATTCATATAATAAAGAAATTAAAGATATGTGAGAAATTACATGAGCACCTGATTTAGCATAATCCCTGACTCTAGTATTTAAAATTAAGACATGACAGTATTTATGATTCTTACACGTTTTTTTTTTTTTTTTTTTTTTTTTTTTCTTGCTGAATTTAAAAATAAAATCTCATCTGTTGCAACTAAGACCTTATCAGCCACATGCCCCTTAACAAGTAGAGGAAGCTACCCTGTGCTGGTTAGCTAACGAGACATAATTTTAAAAAATAAGGGTTCATCTTTAACTAAAGTTGATACTAAATCAATGATTCCATTGGTTGTTTTAAAATTAGATCAGGTGAAATTTTTTGAAATTAGGTTGAATATTTTTACAAAGAAAAGCAATTATGTCAAATACTATGAGAAACAGAACCCTTGGTTTGTTACAAAGGAAAGACTGCCACCTACAGAAAAGATACATCATTTTTCAGAAGATTTTCCCTAGATGGGAAAAGAAAGCCTTAAATTCAATGGATTCCCATCTACAATAAAGCCTATTTTAAAAGCATACAGGACAAAGGACTAATATTGTATGATTCCACTTATAATAATCAAATTTCTAGAGACAGAAAGTAGAATAGTGGTTTCTAGGGGCTGAGGGAGAGGGGATATGAGGAGTTATTGTTTAATGGGTACAGAGTTTCAGTTTGAGATGAAAAAGTTCTAGAGATGAATAGTGGTGATGGATGTACAACAATGTGAATATCCTTAATGCCACTGAACACTACACTTAAAAATGGTCAATGGTAAATTTTATGTTATGTATTTTTACAACTAAAGCAAAAAACAAAAAAGCATATAATACACCATGGCTTTCTTTGGTCTGAAATTTATTGGTGATTAGGGAGAGTGCTATATATATTTATACTTATTTTTTAATTTATAAATAACACTAGCCACTTAAGTTTCTCACTAGTTCTTTTTAAAATACGGCCTTCTTAAAAAACTTAAATGGGACATCTTTACGTGTATACTTCATTTTTTTCTAGAGTTAACAGGTAATATACTTACAGGGTTCAAAAATTCAAAGCAATATAAAAAGGTATATACCATCCCTGTTCTAATCTATCCTGTTCTTCCTTGCCCTCAATAGGCAACTATTTTTAATGTTTATTTATCCCAGTGTTTCATTTTGCACATATTGTTTTGTTTTGGCGGCTGGCCCTTATGGGGATCTGAACCCTTGACCTTGGTGTTACAAGGCTGTGCTCTGACCAACTGAGCTAAGCAGCCCAGTTCTGTTTTGCAAATATTGACAAAAATGAATATACTACTTTGTTTCTTTCTGTCACAAAAGGTTGCTACACACAGTTTTGTACCTTTGCTTTTTTCCTTAACAGGACATAGAGAGGTTCCTCGTTCTTTTTACAATTAGTTGCATACTATTCAATTTGGTGGGTTTGCCAGGGTTTGTTTAACCAATCTCCTAATGCCAGGTTGTTTTCAATCTTCTGCTGGTAGATAAACAACATTGCAAAAAGAATAACCTGCATATACTAGGATACTTCAAAATGTTAATGGAAAAATTCATCTTTTTTCAATTTAATTTTTTTATTATTAGCATATTCATTATTACAAAACATGACTTTTCTTTATTTCAAGTACCTTGTATGTCACTTCATATTAGTACAAGAATTTCTGTAAGAGGGATTCTCAGGAGTAGGACTACTGGATCAAATGGTAAATGCATCTATAATATTGGTAGATAATTGCCAGATTCCTTTTGATAGGGGTTGTGCCATTCACTTTTATATTTTTGCTAGATGGTATCTCAGTGTAGTTTTAATTTGTTTTTTTCCTACTTAAAGATTGAGCATCTTTTCGTATATTTAACAACTGTTTGTTTTTCTGTGACCATCCACATGTTCTGTCCATTTTTCTAGCCAGTTTTACAAATCTTTTTCTAGGGGCTCTTTCTATAGTACAGAGATTAGTCCTTTGTCTATATGAGTTACAAATCTTTTCCCCAAGTTTGCCATTTCTGTTTTGACTTTGCTTATGGTGTTTATCTGGTCATGCAGAAATTTTTTTGTTTATATAGTCTTATCAATCTTTTCTTTCATGGCTCCTAGACTTTAAGTCATAGTAAAAAAGGCCACCCCACTACAAAAATAAAAAGAAATTCATCCATTTTTATTCTAAAATTTACATTGTTTTTTAATATCTGATCTCAGATCCACTTGCAGTTCATCCTGGTACATAATCCCTTTTTTTTTTTAATGTTAGAACTCAAACTATAATTGTGAACTTAAAATGTTCAGTGAATTAGGTTGTCACTTTTTGTTCTTATCCAACTATTAACTACCATTCTCATATATAAACAGTTATAACCGACACACACATTCATTTTTCCCCAATCATTTCTAAGTGGTTACCAGAAATAGAAGGAAAATTAAATACAATTTTTTTTTTTAAAAGATGACCGGTAAGGGGATCTTAACCCTTGACTTGGTGTTGTCGGCACCACGCTCAGCCAGTGAGCGAACCGGCCATCCCTATATGGGATCCAAACCCATGGCCTTGGTGTTATCAGCATTGCACTCTACCGAGTGAGCCACGGGCCGGCCCTTAAATACAATTTTTAAAGGAGCTTGAAAACATGACAGATCTTTTTGAACTGCAAACATATGATTGTATATTAATAAAAACTACAGATAGAATACTTAACATAAAACTCAGTCAGAGTGCAGTGCTGATTTAACACCAAGATCAAGGGTTCAGATCCCCATGCAGGCTAGCAGAGATTTATTCATTTTCTGTTGCTCTTGGAAACACATGGAGCACCCTGGAAGCATAGCTTCAGGAATGCAGAATCCAAACCCAGAGTCTAAGGAGCAGCATGGAAGTAGCTGCAGGGACCGAAATTCCCAGTGAATTGGTACATAATACTGGATCTGACGGTTTTTTGTTGTTGTTGTTGTTGTTTTAGTGGCTACCCAATTTTCCTAACATTAAAAAATTCCTCCGTGTGTGTGTTTGTGTGTGTGTGTGTTGGCCAGTAAGGGTATCCAAACCCTTGAGTTGGTGTTATCAGTACTATGCTCTAACCAAGTGAGCTAACCAGCCAGCCCTGAAAAGTTCACCTTTACCTGAGTCGTTTAATTGTATTAAATATTTCTTTACACTTCCTTGCACCATCCCTCGACCTATCTTTGGAAGCACAATTTGTTTCGTACATAGTGGTGTAACACCAAGGTTAAGGGTTGGGATCCCCAGACCGGCCAACCACCAAAAAAAAATCAATTATGTTGGTAATCGTTAACACCTTTTATATTCATTTTTAAACCTTTAGAATGACAATGTTTACCAACTACATAACAAATATAAGGCTTAAAAGATTAAATGTTTGTAATAACTGAAAAAAATACCAACAGCCTAAAAGTCCATCACCAGAAGATAAAGTTAATAAATTGTTTTTAACACACAGGAGAGTATCACAGAGTTTAGGAAGAAGAATGAGATAGATTCAGATGTAACGATCTGGAATGCTATATGACGAACTTGGTGAAGGGGGCCCAGGGGAAAGGACTGCTCTATTTTGTGGGGAAAAAAATGTGAGTGCATAGAAAACTCCTGGAAGAACAAAGTGTTAAATGTTTACCTCTCTCTGGAGGTTGGGACTTGAGATGAGAAAGGACATGTGAAGGAAAAGGCAATTTTACTTTTCATTTATATCTTTTCAAAAGTGTGAAAAAACTAAAAATCTATCACATCTAACTTTTAAACTCAGAATAAGCCTAAATTTAATGCTAAACACTAAGGATCGAAATGGGTGGCATATTTACATATGCATTAAAAATAAAAAGGAGCAAAGAGGAAAAAAGCATGATCATAGTGCCCAAAAGTTACCTGAACAATGGTGAATCCAGATCTGAGAATAATATCTTGTATCTCCTCCTCTTTATCAACGACATCTGGTTTGATAACGGCCAGAGTTTTTTCTACATATATCTGAGGTGAGGGCATTGATATTTCCATTCTGGCTTTTCAGGGAACAATTTAAGTTTCTTGACAGGTATCAACTGCAATGACATGTATCCCCCATCCCAAATTCAATGTAATTGTGATCAAGAATAGCAGTATGAGGTGCTTAATTTTATTAATTTACAAAGGTAGAAACAGCCATGTTTTTCTATAAGCAGGTTTTCAATAATACATTCTGTACTGTGTCCACGTCCAGCCGTGGGTTTTCGTACACACTTTCACCAACGCGGGGAGGCCAAGAAGCAACCCGAATGCCTGGAACTAGCGCAGGCTCCAGGCGGTGGCAACACTGCACGCCACTCCAGAGGCAGGTGAGTGACTCCACCCCCCAGGGACCAATCCGCTTATAGGGTCGGGCCCTATTGCAAAACAGGGCCCCCAGGTCCTCTGGGACTCTCCGGGTTGCACCCGCATATTCCAAGTCTGGCCGTTTTTTGAGCACTCACCTCAGCGCCTGCCCCTCCTGTGCGACCACAACTTGTTGCTAGGAGACCCGAAGCCCTGGCTGAGGAACGGTGGCTGCAGAGGGCCAATCCCAGCAACAGGCTTTGCAGCCTCAGCTGGTTCATATTAACCAAAAAAGGGATCACAGGCATTTTTATTCTTGTGAATATTAGAAAATGTTTTCTAACCTTTTCCTCATAATTGATCTTATTTCATCCTCCTGCCCATCTGACGAACTCTTCAATTATCCCCACTTTATAAATGATGAGACAAATCATACACACTCCCACCCATCCTGCTCCATCCCCTTCCAGACTATATAGAGACCCATGTCAAATACCTTCCTTATTTCACCAGATGATGTTGTCCCCTCTTTTCCCAGCTTCGATAATAATTAAAAAGCAATCTTTGGTTTGTGAAATAACATTTATTTTTTAGAACACCAGTGAAAGGTTTCATCTAATTACCTCTAAATTAAGCCTATGGAACAAGGTTGTGGATAACATTTATGATATAAACCCAAATCTCAACTTTTTTTTTTTGCAGCAGCAGCAGCAGGCTAGTACAGTGATCTGACTTTTTCTTTTTATTATGTCCACAGGCTACTTTGACTCCTTGGTTGTAAGTTAAAGCATTACTCTTATAAGAAACAACAAGAGAGAAATACCAGGATCTTCTCTGGGTTAGAGTCTCACAGAGAGAGGTCCAAACTTCAGAAAATGTCAGGGTAGCAGCTCCAGGTTAACAAAACAGGTTTTCCATCTCCCACTGGGTTGGCTGGTTCTCATTCCAGACTACTTAAGTCTCTTCTTTGGTCTAACCAAATACTCAGCACCTACAAGGTCATGGCACAAATAACAAGCTAGGAATTTTAAAAGCTACAAAGGATTGAATACAATTTTCTTTCTTTTTTAGGATAGATTCAACTATAAATATATATATTTTTTTAAGTATGATGCTGCCCAGAAAAAAACCCTCAAATGTCTTCTACCTACTATGTATGTCTTATCTCCTGAAAATGGTAAAGTGTGAACATACATTAATATCAACAGATGTAGCAACCAAAAAATGGACAGCCTCTGTTCTGGTCTGGCATGTTTAGCCCTCTGACTTAAGGCTGTGGAATTACTTATCTATGCCCAGCTCTCTCGAATGCCCTTCATTGCTGCCTGCCTACCTAGACTAGTTCATTATCTGTTAAAGCTGGATCTAGAGAGGCTCAGAGCTTTCCAAATTGGCAGGCACATCATCAATCCTTCAGGGCTTTGAATCACCTCTAAACTGTGGGAACACAAGGTCACCTCAACATCACCCTTATTCTTAGACTTTCCGAAATCAGACTCCAGAGGCTACTCTCCTTTATCTTGCAGTTCTCTACATACAGTACCTGAATCTGTTCTAAGACTTCTCGCTGCATCTGCACAGCCATATGGTACACATGATGATTAGAGTCATTGTACATCACAGCATTTTGGAACATCAGCATAAGGTCCCGCTGGAACTGGGCCATGGTACAAATCCGTCCCTTAGACAGATTCCTCTTCAGGGTAGTTAAATCCATGGGTCTACAGATGGCCAAGAGAAACCAGAGGAAATCAAACCTTCATGTGGAACATGTGGTGACCTAACATGCTGTCTGAGAGAACTCACCAGTTCTTAATGAAAATAGTAACAAGGATATCAGCCCTCATCAGATAACAAAATAGCAACAGCAGTTAACATTTGACTATTTACAATGGGCCAAGCACTATTCTAAGCACTTTTTATATTACCTCACTTAATCCTCTCAATAAACATTTAAGGCAGGTACCATTACTATCTCCATTTGACAGATGAGAAAACTGATCTAAAGAGTTAAGCACTTGCCCAAAGTCACACAGCCTGGATTCCAATTCAGACGCAGCCCAAATCCAGAGCCCACAGGCCAGGCCACTACACTCTGCTATTGTAGGAGGAATGCTTGCCCCAGGCACCAAAGCTGTAAAGGGCTCCAAAGATCAGTTTCGCGCAGTAGTTATTGGCTATTTACAATGTACAGTTATATATGAGGTATTTAATCTACTTCTTTTATTACATAAACCAAAAGCTAAGAATTTTTTCTCCTTTCATGGAAATGAAAAGAATAAGGGTCAAGTGAATATTAAGATAAATAAATTGATATCTAATAAGATAGAGAGTAAGGATATAAGAGAAGGCACAGCAGTACAGAAGGAAAACTGAACTGGAGGTAAGAATCTGGGGTTTAGTTCTTGCTCTGTGATTAACTGTTGATCACAGACAATTCACGACCACATCTGAGCCTTAGTTTCTTCATTTACAGAATGAAGGAGTTTGTCTGATATGGTTTGAATGATGGTATCTCCTTCAAAATTCATGTTGAAACTTAATCCTCAATGTAATAGTATTAAGAGATGTGACCTTTGAGAAGTGATTAAGTCATGAGGGCTCCACCCTCACAAATGGGATTAGCACCCTTATGAAAGGGGTTGAGGATACAGAGTTCGTCCCCTCTGGAGAATGAAGCAACATGGCACCATCTTGGAAGCAGAGAGCAACCTTTACCAGACACCAGTCCTTCCAGTGCTTTGATTTTGGACTTCCCAGGTTCCAGAACCATGAGAAATAAATTTCTAGTTTATAAATTACCCAGTCAAAATAGACTAAGGTGATCTCAAAGGCCTCTTCCAGATCTTTTATACTCTAGTACTGCACTGGTTTATGACAGCATTTTATTTTTTATTTATTTTTATTTTTTTATTTTTTTTTAAAAAGATGACCAGTAAGGGGATCTCAACCCTTGGCTTGGTGTTGTCAGCACCACGCTCAGCCAGTGAGCAAACCGGCCATCCCTATATAGGATCCGAACCCGTGGCCTTGGTGTTATCAGCACCGCACTCTACCGAGTGAGCCACGGGCCGGCCTTATGACAGCATTTTAGATGAACTATACTGTAAAAATCCAAAATACTGCAATCAACCAATGTTGGTAACTTCCATTTGGATTAACCTCTTTGCCTTAGCATACCTATACCTAACTGTCTGAATTGAATACAGGGTTCCTTTTAAAGTTTTGCTCCAAAAGAACAGTGTCAGATATCAAAGGCTAATTTAAGATTATAATGAATGGATCTTATTACTTAAGTCAATAATGCAAAAATAAATAAATAAATAAAAAGCTTATATCATCCTTTTGTCTCCTGCATTCTTTTTCAGATAAAGATACTGAGCTCACCATTACTTCACAAATTTGTTGGTCTGTAAAAATATATCCTGAGCTTGTAAGTAATATAAAAAAAAAAGAAAGAATCTAACAGATGGGAAATAAAAAATAAAAAGGCAGATATAAAAGCAACCAACCTTTCTTGACCCCTTTTCCACTGACCTTTTCACCACATCCTTGTACCCTGAGGCCTGCCTTTCTGACACAGGCTTCAGAAATGGACTGCTGAACCTGTTAAGGGACAAACCCAGAGAGAATGAATAAAAAAAAATAAAAAAATAAAAAATCCTGGAGGGCCGGCCCGGTGGCGCACTGCTACAGCGCGCCGCTTGGGAGCGTGGTGGCACTTCCGCCGAGGGTTCGGATCCCACGTACAGACCGGTTCCCACTCACTGGCTGAGCGAGGTGTGGGAGCAACGCCGAGGGTTGCGATCCTGTTGCCGGTCCCGGTCCAGTACGGGCACGACACTGAGGGCTGCGATCCGTTGCCGGACACGAAAAAAGACAAAAAGGAAAAAAAAAAAAAATCCTGGAAATTTACTTTAAATGAGAAGAGTGGCTGTGAACAAGAAACACTTAAAAATACCGAGTTCTTATTAGAACTACAGAGCTTGTTAGATTTCCCTTAGGGAAACGCAAACTATGAGCACCATTAGGAATAAATCTATTAGTTCCCTCTTGCCAAACGGAAAGTTAAAAAAAAACCTAAAACGGGCTGGCCCGGTGGCGCACTGCTACAGTGCGCCGCTTGGGAAGCGCGGCGGCACTCCCGCCCGAGGGTTCGGATCCCACATACAGACCGGTTCCCGCTCACTGGCTGAGCGAGGCACGGGAGCAACACCGAGGGTCCCGGTCCGGTACGGGCGTGACACTGAGGGTTGCGATCCGTTGCCGGTCACGAAAAAAGACAAAAAGGAAAAAAAAAAAAAACAAACCTAAAACACTATAAAATATTTAACCATTATTATAATATACTGATTTAGGGCTCAGTAATTTGTTCAAAGTTCCTGAGGCCCTGTCTCTGAAAAGAAAAAGAAAAGAAACGAAAACCCACCATATATATATATATATTTTTTTTTTCTGAGTTGAAATTTTCATATTTATTGCAGCATTACTATAAAGAATACATATTTATCATAGTGCCACTATTAAGCATACACATAAATGCATGGCTCAAGCCAGGAGTGACATAAGGAATATGCCAGGGTTAGTCAAATGCTAATCTTCCAGGCCCAGTGGAAATGGGATGGAAGGAGGGAGACTGCAGATTTTGTTGGTAGGCAGTCACCACTTATCACCCTTGGCAAGAAGGGCAGAAAATGGGGGTTACCACCCTATATATTTTGAATACAAATTTTATCATGTAAAAGGAACCAATTTCTAGTGGCAATTCAAATGGCACAGCAACTATTTCTTGTACAGACTTGTGAAAGCAGCTGTGCATGTTTATGGATAAACCAGGCTTACATACAGGATCTGCCTGCCTCTAAACTATGGCTTGGGTGAAGGATGACCATATCTCTTTTTATGCTTAAACCCTAATATGTGTCACTGCTTCAGTTCTGAACATAATCCTATTACCACTTTGGAGACCTACCTGTGACTGGCAATCATCTTCCAGACTTGCAGGAGAGTCTTCTTAAATAACAAATGATCCTGAACAGGGTCACCCTGGCTTAGATCAGTCCTATAAGATTAAACATGATAGAAAAGAGACGGTAATTTTACAAATGGTATTCCTGTCTCCCCCAGGTGGGTAATGAGGTTTTCTCAAGACATAGTGCTCCTAATTAACATCTAAAGGAATACAACACCATAGGAATAAAAATATATTTAATGCTTCCACAAGGGACCCCAAACTATAAATATTTTCTTAGTTATCACTATTACCCAATGAAGTGGTTTATCTCCTTATAAAAGTATACTACAAATCTACAATTGTCTGTGCCTTTTCCACTCTTGCTGATTTGCTCTTCTGCACCTGTGACTCTAAAGAACAGATCTATGAAAGTAGTGTGTGTTCACTGATGTTTCCCAAGTGCCTGCAACAGTGCCTGGCAGTAAGTGCTTAATAAGTTGTTTTTTTTTTTAATTTTTATTTTGTCAATATACAATGTATATGATTATTATGGCCCTT